AAAACTTTCAAAATCTCACGAGTATCTATTATTATCTATTTATTATTATCTATTAATTCCGAATTGTATGAGAAGATTGTGCGATTTTTTGTTTAGAATACTCTCAAAAAAACTGAGCAGCTTAATTGGGACTCTATTTGGGATTGATTGTACTCCTCTTATCCAATCAGAATGGAGTAATTTTGTTGAGTCTATGTGCGATGTGAAGCTATAGATTTTGGGGACTAACAACTGATTACCGACAACCCCTTCCCAACTGTGTATTCGTATTCCCAGTTTCCTCATATAGACAAATAATACCAACACAACTACATATACGTAATTAAAAGTGAGTTTTCTTATTTGTTTCTTGTCTTTTTTTCAACTTTTACAATCGATTGCAATAGAGTGCACGCACTAAATACGTGAACATTAATTAGTACTATTTCATACAGAATCCTGTGTTTTCTATTGTTTATTTATCACCATTTAGTACTAAAAGTTAGTATTTGTTTCACGGGTTTAGTGCGTGCACTCTAATCATTAATTTTTTTGTTTTTGTTTCAGGCTTTTGCATGATCATTTATCGTTTCGTACCAACGACACGGAACAATATACAATGATAATTAACCGATGAGAATAGAGGGTTCTGCCATGGCAAGTTCCATCTTCATTCAAAGCTTGCACTGGGATTAGTAAACTGAGTTTGATTTACAGCATGGCATGGAGAGTGACTTTGATGACCCAATTTGGCCCTCATTACAAAACGATTCTATTGTATTAAGTTATCATTATCTTCTCAATGAGTGAAGAACACCAAATGGAGCAAGACGCCCTGACAAAAAACTTGATTAATTGAAGTATATTACTTGAAATGTTTGACAAGTTTTATACAAGAACAAAGGACGTCTTTCTTAATGTGATGAAAACATTCCACTTCATTGCAAGTTTGGTTGATAGTTTAGCTTCTAGTTTCTTCTAAGTTAAGTCCCTACTCGAGTCTTGAATCATTCCAGACATGCCTACATGTTAAATTGCTTGACTGGATTAGCATTGGGTTTTTGATAATTAAATAATGTTCGTTCAAGTAAATTTCTTTAAAATTTCAAAATCAGTTTGAATTGCTAAATTGTATATCCATCCTTTGATTTAATGCTGAGAAGAGACAACTCTGAATAAATAAATTTTGTATAATCAAGAAACACAGGTTCAATTCCATTGGTGCATTGAGGCCGAAGTCACGAATAGTCCACTTCACAGTTCCCTATGCCATCTTGAAAGGTAGCCGTTTCTTTGCATTGAAGCGAGACAAACGGTGAGGTAGCAATGATAGGGACCTAGTGAATAATTGTCCAAGGTGTTAAAAAAGGTCTCTATCATTGCAAGCTCACCGTTTAATTCGCTTCGATGCAAAGGCTCGGCTACCTTTCAAAATGGCGCAGGGAACTGTGAAGGGGACTATTCTTAGGTTTTAGTGCGTGCAGCAATACTAGCTGAATGCATGTGCGCTGGGTCACCCCTCATGGGCAAAGTTCAAATGGTCCAACATAATCTGATTGTTTATCCATAGGGGAGAACAAATATGGATTATTAGATTAAATATATAGTGTAGCATCGTGGTGTACGGGTTAACCAAGTGCGTCATAGGTTTCCAAACACACGAGTGGGAAATTTTTCAAGGAATTTCGTTCTCCTCACTCAAAAAAATTCAATGGCAGGCAAGATTCCAACCCGGCACTATTTGGCATCAAATGATATTACATTTGCCTATCCCAACCATAACGCTAAACCTAGCCACTCAGCTTTCCAATTTTTTGTCATATTTAAAACAATGCTTATAATTATGTACAAAAATATTTATTACAGTATAATATATACCATCGTAGGACACGACTACTGGCCGAATGAATCTGCATATCGGAATTTAAATTTAAGTAGACCCCCCCTGACAATTCCCGTACAACACGATACTACCAAATAAAGGTTAACTTTATACTTGTATAAATAGCGAGGCTGTATTAAAATCAGCTTAAATGACCCGCGATACAGTTAAATAGAATCAAATAGACGCAAAAGAAATTAGTGGGAATAACATCTACGTTCAGGTTCAAATCTAAAGTCAAGTGCTTGCACAAACTGGTTGAACACAAGAAGATTGTAATCCTGTTTAACCGGTTCCTATATTAGCTTATTATTAATTGCAATATTTGTCTACTTAGATTTCTCCGAGTTCCTTTCTTAGTAGGTCTGATACTGAGCGTGTGTAATTTCTTTTTGAATTGTCTTTTTTCAAACAAGTGATTTTCCCAGAATACACTTCCATTTCAAGGTTGCTTTGCTTTCTTCTTGGTGTTTTCGCGTCAGTGTCATCTTCACTGTTCCTACCATCCTTTGTTTCCTCTCCTCCTTCTTCCTCACTGTCCTCTTTTCCTTTCCCAATTTCACTTTCACTTTCTTCATCATCTTTCTCTTCTTCTTCTTCTTCTTC